ACAAGGTCCTAGTCGAGTTTTACTCTATAATAAAGGAAAATAGATTAATGGGTAGCACAACCCCCTTTGCTTGGATAGACAAGGAACAAGTGGACCGGGTGAGAGTGATGGGTGAAGGGGAGAACCTTTGGGTTTACAAACCCGGAACCCCCATCACGGAATTGGGGCTGGACCCAATCGAGTGGAGATGGAAACCTACTGGCCCGTCACGAGGGCGAGCCCACAAGGACACAACACTGGTAAACCTCTCCGTTAAAACCACATATAGAATGATCAGGCCAAGATGGAACCTAAAGGAAACAGTGGATGATCGTTGGTATAGACACCTAAACATTGATAGGCATCTGCTAACCCCGATTAGGTGGTTCCAAAAACCAAGAGGAGGCCGGCCAAAATTTCTTTATTGCAATGGTAGATAGCCCACATGTGTCTACCTACTAACAACTGGCTAATTGATCATACCAGGCTGGAACAACAAGGCTGGGCCCTCCCCTGATGCTGTAGATGCCTCCGGGCATATCCGGCCAAAAAAGCAGCGGAAACCATTGAGCACATCTTTCTACAGTGCCCAAATGCTGTTCTCACCTGGCGCTGGTGGGACCGGATCTGGCAGCACTTAGTTCCGGGTTCCCTCTGGCCATGGGACTGGCGGGCAATTCTAACGGGCTTCTGGCCAGGGCGACCTGAAGATGATTTCGCATCTAATATGTTTGATCTGGGGAGACGAACAATTTTATGGCCGCTGTGGTGGCAAAGATGTGTGTTGGCAATGGAAGATGTACAAGTGGAAGGGGAGGAAGTGCGTGAACACATAAAAAATCAATTCCAACTGGACATAACAGAGAAATGGCAGACAGTTAGATGCAAGCTAGATCTTTTTCAACAACCAAAGGACATTAGAGAAAATATCACTAAATTCTGTCAAGAATGGTTGGGAGGGGAGAGAAGGGGCTGGATTGCGCAGGTGAGATGGTCAGGGGACTGGGAAGCGGGCATCCAGGGGGGGGGGGAGACGATAAGAAGAGATTATTGCTTGGACTTCAAAGAATGGACTAATATTGACCCAAGTTTCCTGATGAGGCCTGCTTCAGATTTCCCGGACCCCTTCCCCCTACACCCTCTATCCCTGATAGAAACAACTAGACCGTCGTGAGTCTCCAGAGAGAAGGGTTTCAGGATTGAAGCAGGGAGGCTCAGCTTCTAAGGATAAAACTCCTGTAAATAGGCACCGCGACTTCCAGCAATAAGAGAAGGGGATCAGGATGGCAGCATGGAGGTTCACCTGCAGAAATGGTGTTATGAACAGATGTATCTGAGGATGCTGGACCCGGTTTCCAGCAGGAGTGGCTGTTGGGCTAGGGGAGGATGAGTAGGTTGGATACGGGACGCTGGACCCGGCTGCCAGCAAATTGGTGTCACCTTGATGTATTGTTTTGCACAAAAGGATTTAAGATTGTTTTTGCTCAGAAGGACTTAAGGGACTGTGGAGGGATGGCAGGGGCAAGGGGATGGAGGGAGATTCCACTGGTGCCCCCCGGTGCCTCTCCCCCCAATTCCCGACCCTTCTACAGAATAGGCATAGTCGAGTTGATTGAACAAGGGACGCTGGACCCGGTTTCCAGCAAAAAAAAAAAATGGTAGGTGGATGGCAGAGGCTAGGGGATGGAGGGGGAATCCACTGGTGCCCCCCGGTGGCCCCCTCCTATACCCGACCCCATTGCGGGGCAGGGACGGAAGGGTAGTTTGGAGATGGGATGCTGGACCCGGTTTCCAGCACACTGGCGTCACCCTCATTGATGTATTGTATTGAAAATATGTTTCTATGGGACGCTGGACCCGGTTTCCAGCACGTGTTGCTCCCCACCAATAGATGGAGCGGCTCGCCAGGCAAAGCCTCAATCCCGGTGGTTCTCTTACCACCACCAGGATAGAGGTCTTGCACAAGGGCTTTAAAAAAAAAAAAAAAAAGGACGGACTTTTTTTTTTTTTTTTAAGCCCAGGGTGTTGTAGAGGCCAAGGACCAGACCCGCGGTGATTGCTAGTAGCAGCAGCCAATGGTTGTCCGGACAGGATAGGCCACCTACCCTGTGACGCCCAACCTCACGCCCAGCGCGACTTCCTGATCGGAGTGGGATGTGGGCCTGGAAGTGCGAAAAGGGGTGTGCCAAGGATTTTTGGGGAAAGTGGGGGAGTCTTAAGGGTATGAATGCAATTAGGCGGGTGTGCGCAAGGGACTCACGGTCCGATGGGGCCGGCGCACTGTGGGCGACGGGTTACGGGAAAATTCCTCCGTGGTGGAGATGGTCCTGAAAAGTTAGGCCGTCGGGGGCCGCCACGTGGCGCAGGCCGCC